AATTGTGGCATAGATAGCCTACGTTATTTTCCCCTGTGCAATTCTCCATTTACTCAACAATAACACATAATTATCCTTGTGTTTATTTATTTGTTTGATTAATAAACACAAGTTGGAGTCCGTCAGGACCAAGGGTCGGAGTAGCTCATTAGTGCTCCGAGGGTTACGCCGAGCGTCGAACAGCAGTTGAAATGGGATGGAACCACGGCAGTCCAAAACTGGATTTGAACGGGTCCACCGCGTACCCCCCACCCCGTCCCCAGAACTACACATGCTGGCTATTGTGTTTTGCAACATGTTCTCTATCTATGGCACGTCTCTACTGGGAATTGTAGTTTTAAAAGACGTTTTCGTATTTCCCATAATAAGAAGTTGCCAGTATTAAACTGTGTACATCCCTGGAGGTTTAGGGGATAGGAAACACACAAATTTAAAACATATAATTAATAAATAGGTGAAAATTGCTTGTGCCCATAATGGGCAGCATTAATATATACATATATAGCGTTTTTGTAGAAATACTACGTCCCAAGTTGTGGACCAACGTAGTTATTACACGTTTAGATGTGAAACTGGGTTGGCTGATCACACAACCCTGTGGAACGCCGGTGTTCAGGGTCAGAATGGAAGAAGTGAGGTTGTTTAACTTCAAAGACTGGGTGTGTTGGTCAGGATGTCCACTGTCTAGTTGCAGAGGGAAGTGCTGATGCCAAGATTCCCAAGTTTTACACTATATAAACTGTAGGGGATGAATATGTTGAATGTGGAGCTAAAAACAATAAATAACATCTTAGTAATAATATATTGTATTTGTTAAGCGCTTTAGCAGGTGCTGAAAGACACTTTATAGTGGTAAAAATAATATAATTAAAAAAAGATAAAATACTGATGGTTGAGCGGCACGATGGTTATCCTCTTCAAGCACGTGGGACAGAGATATTTACGTACTGTACGAATAACGTCTATGGATAACCTCACACAAAACGTGTGAGGTTATCTAAAGTTATCTAATTTGTCCAGTTTATTTACCAAGGACTGAAAGTTGGCAAGTTAAATGCTAGGCAGAGGTTGTTTGTGTGGTTAGTTTTAACCTAGCCTAGCTCGTGGGCCTGCTTTGCCTTTGTTCCAGTCTTGTCGCCACCGTTTTCTTCCTGTCAGCGAGAGTGGTTCCCTGGGCTTTGGTGTCCTGGCTTACTCCGGTGGTAGCTGAACGTTGTTTAAAAAATCTAATTTACACAGAGAACTAAGGTTCAAGAGTTCTTGTAAGCTATAGAACGTATACACACAGCTGGGCTGTGTGAAAAAACTTGAAACTATGAGGTAACTACTAATTCTCAGAAACTGGAGAGACTCAGAGCCTCATATAGTGCACGCGCCATCCTAAGTATATTTTATGTGAGAGGAGGCTGGAATGTAAAAGCAACAACTACACTGTATTTATCTTGCCAATCACTTGTATACAATCAAGCCTTAACATCTTGAATCCACTGTTAAGGAAGTAGAACATATCACTATCCAAGCTATTATTTCCTTACATTCATTATAACTGTTTGTCACTGTAAATGGTGTTTTTGCAACCTTTCCCATTACATTCTAATTGACAGAAATGCTAACGCATATTCAAAACAACCTATTAGTTTAAATTGTACATGCTTGCAAATGTGCTTCTCCCTTACATTTGTGTGCCGTTGGGGTTAGAAGAGACCAGAGGGACGCGTCCATACGAGCTGCTGTCGATGATGACCACCAGGGCCACAATGACTGCAGGGAGACCTGAAACACAAGCATTAGACAAGACATTGGAACGTTTTTAAAGCATTATACTTGAAATAATATTATTTAAATAATTATTTAAACAAAGTATGATGTATAACTCTGGTGCATATAACAATTTTATCAGAATCATCAAATACGAATACTTTATTTATCCACAGGGTAATTGTTACACCATCTTAGAATGAAATTGTGACAATGGTGAGGATAACAGAAGCTAAATGCAAAATCGGGGGATGGGAGGAAGGTATAGATGTATACAAAATAATCAAACTATATTAAATATGCTGGCACAAAACAGTTACATAAACATGAAAGAGCAGGCAAGGTAAAACCAAAGGAAACTTAGCAAAACAAAAATGAGTAACAAACCAGCAAGACACAGGAAGGAGGAAAATACAGAATACAGACAGGAAACCAGGAACTGTGATAGACTGAACCGAACCGGGGAAACATTGATGACAAACTGTCAGAGAGCACAAGGGAAGACGGGCATATATACTCACAAGACTAATCACAAAGACAAGACACAGCTAGGGAGGGCATGCGAACACAAGGGATAGCAGGTGAGAATAATTGGACAATCAAATAGGCGGGTAAACACAATGACAGAAAGTAAAAACAAGACACAATGATAAAATACGTTTCAAAATAAAACAGGAGACAAAATAAAAGCAGAACCAGAAGTTGCCACCTGTTGATACCTGGCCTTTGCGACTCTACTCACCCCATCCCACCAAGCTGAGCTTGAGCAAGTATTTCCGGATATAAATGTTGAAGACTCTGACTAAGAGAAGGTAGAGGTGTAAGCCCTCCAGGGCCATCCAGCTGAAAGTGGCCAGCAGGGAGTAGTGAAGAGAGACGGCCATATAGAGGCAGAGCCCGATGGAGGACGATGATGCCACCGTCTGGCTGGGGAGGAAGTGCAGGTTGAGGAGGATCAGGGCAATGGCCAGGTTGATGTGGACCTTCATAGAGATATCTGCTCTGACTTTTCTGGAGGAGAATTGTTCTGTGGTAAGTGTTACATTTTTATTTTGTTAAAGGATTTCATGACATATATGGGAAGAAAAAGGACAAAATATGATAATAAAGGAGTGAGAAAAGAACATTGCATTTAAATTTTAAAAGTAAGTAACAAATAAAGCTCAAATTTACAAATTAAAGGGCCCATGTCTTGGCCATTTCTACTGATCATAATTTCATTGTTGAGGTATACTAGAATAGATTTACATTGTTCAATGTTCCAAACTCACATTGGTTTCTCATACAGCATCTCTGTATAGTATGTGTATTCACTCTCTGTCCTACACGCCTTGTTGGAGCTCCTGCCCCCCCCCCCTCCCTATGAGCTCACTGTGCTCTGATTGGTCAGCTCGCCCAATCTGTTCTGATGACTCTCCCACCGTTACGGCGGAACATCATGACACCAGTAATGACAAATAGATGAGAATGCAGCGTGGTGTCTTGGTGCCGTGTTGGCGGGACGTTGCGGGGATCGCTGCTCCGCCCTTTGAGGCTCGAGGAGCCGACAGTGTGAGGTGGATTACTGGTGTCGTTTCCTGGTTGCTGCGTGGGGTCTGAGCGCCGCGGCTGAGAAAATATAAGGCTGAGTGTGTGTGTGTGTGTGTGTGCGGAGCTCCGCAGACCAATTGGTCCATTTGGACTCAGTGACGTCAACCTGCCCCGCAAGAAAAAAATGGAAAAAGAAAAATCTCCAACGAGGCGTTTTGGGGCATTATAGACACGTCTTTTCTGTGTTAGAGTTTTACTCGCTACAGGGTGTACTTTAAGGGTTTGTGACTTTGCAGAGCGTTTACATGCAGAAAAAGCTACATAACACACA